TGGATGGATGGATGGATGGATGGATGGATGGATGGATGGATAAGGGGTTGGGTGAGTATGTATGAAGTGGATTACTCCTCTTTGTGCTGATGAATTTAGGATGAAGGGATGTGCTCGTAGAGGATAGACATAACCTGAAGAGGTAAATAATTGGCAGAGATATTGATGAATAGATGGCGTTATTTTTATTGGGGGTTTTATTCCGACAACTAAATCCCACCTGGAAATATGAGCCTTAAGTTACGAAGTAGGTCCAAAAATTGCGATGCAGAAGGATAGCCACAAATCTGCTGGAGTGGAAGTGAACCCAGTGTCAGCGGTTCGCGAAGAATGACTTTTTCACAGCACAAATAATCCCCACGACTTTTCCATGTATGATGGCAAACGAAACGCCAGCTTCACTGCACAACGGTGGAGGAAAGGGAGAAGCTGTGTTGAAAAACCATGTCAGTTTTTTGGCGTTGCACCTTCATATGATGGCGTTTCGGCCGTGTGGACAGCTTTCCCGTCCTCCCGTCTATTGACAGCGAAGCATTCCCCCAAACCGACGTGGACGGGTAGCGGCGCCACGGTAGCAGCACCTAATCAGTCCTGTCAGATTTTAGCAGAATTCCGGATTTCATGGCCTAGACACTGGAGCCAAATTTCAGTAGCCACGACTGGTTGCATTAACGGCGACTTATTGAAACCGCCGGTCCTTGCGAGATAGATGCCGATTTCACGTTCCGCAGTTATGGAGCAAGATCGCGCTCCAGTGAATACAAAGCGCTCTTAGAATACTTTTCATTGTCAAAGAACATGGCGCCTCCTTCTTCACGTTGCTTTGGGGTTGATGCTCCGATTGCCGTGCGAAATACACTCGCAGCGAATAAAATTTTCCAGCTTGTGTCACTGTTTCCTGGAGGACCTCCCCACCGGTGCAATTCACGTTGAGAAAGGGCCCAATGTCTACAACGTCAGAGCGTATCACCAACGTGGCAGGTTGCATCTTCCACATGAAGTCCATTTATTCCTCTGGCTGATTTGCTGCCTCGCAGATGGTCTTAGATCACGGGAAGACTCCCGGCTGCCGAATGAGAAGATCTATTACGGTGAGCTTCCAAGACAATGCGGACTGCTCAGCCTCCTGCGGTTTAAACATCACCTCGGTCCTTCGGCATACCCATTTAATGATTCCTACTGCAACAGGTGTTTGTTTAAATGTGCTTTTCAGTCAAGAGGCGGGTGGTAAACACGAACTTCGTGATGAACTGGACGCTACTGGAGTCCGAGGAGGAAACGTACCTTCAACATGCCAGAACCGTGATACCGCCGTACCCCTTTCCTTACCGCTACTTCATGAGGCAAAAGCACGAGGGCTGGGGCGAAAAGGCGAAAAAGCCGAGGCTGTTCCAGTACTGCCGCACAGTCTATTCCAAACAATTTTAATACACTCCAGCCTGTTTTTAAGGGTCAAATCTGTCAGTTTTCACTTTTTTTAAATAATAATAAGATTAGTCGTTACAT